TTTTAACCCTTTTTCCAAGTTTCATCCTCAAACAGGGTTAACAAGAACAGAAGAAGAATGTGAGAACCCAATTAGCTAGGGTTTTCCCCTCTTTTGAGAAGTCGCAATCAAAACAAAAGGGTTTGTTCTCTGTTTGGACTTGCTGACAACGTCTCTATATAACAGTATAAGAATAGGCAAATAGAAAACCTTTTTGCTGATGAATTATTCGCTAACTTCGTAAAAATAAGAAAGATGTTATAAAATTTATGCTAGACTACTAATATGAAACTAAGCATAAGAACAAAGAGGAGAGACAAGAGAGTAGAGAGAGATAAGAGACTTATATTCAGATGTCTTTTGAAGCATGAATGAGCTCCCTATTTATACAAGAAGTAAGGGATCAAACTGTGGTAAATGAATCACCTATCACTAATGCTAAATATTACAGAATTATACCTTCTTGATTGTGAATAGAAATAATACATGTTAATTATGAACATTCAATTAAATCAATTCAAATATTACACAACACTCCCCCTTTGAATGTCCATCTTTGTGGAATAATGTCTCGGTAAAACCTTATTAGGAAAAACCCTTTGGTATAAAACTCTAGTGAAGGAAAAAGAGTACACTTCCGAATGTGATGATGCCTCGTTAAAAACCTTGTCAGGAAAACCCATTGGGACAAAACCTCGATCAAGGAAAAAAGAGTAGAGCGTGGGTTACTCCCCCTGTTAAGTACGCCACTTGTAATCTTCTCGTTGCATGCCAAGCTATTGACCAGGTTCATGATTGCTTAAGTCAATGATAGACAGATTACTTCAACTTCTCATGTAGACGGTTGTCTTTATATACCTGTATAATCTTGAGTGTTTTATAATAATGGAGATGCATGACCATCATACCTTGAAGGTATCAATATATAATATCCAAAGTCTTGACTTATTGATTAGATAAACCGAAACTTTATATGGTACTTCAGGACCAAATTGGTCTACATCATTAATAGAAAGTCAAGAAGAAGGATCTATATGCACATTAAAATTTTAATCAAGTGCACTCAATGGGTGTTGAATATACACAAATTAAACTATTTAGACCGAGATTCTACTCAAGATCTTTCATTATCCTTGCTTCAGGCAAGTAGCAACCTTTTGAACTTCCTTAGAAGTGTTCATAACTATGATATAACTCTTCAGAAGTTTTATTTATATTCAGGCTATTCGAATTTCGTGATAAGTTTCGATAATATTCAGCCTTTTGAAACTCTACAAGAGTCCGGTGCTAACAAAATTGTAAATGCACATATGGCTTATGAATACTCTCTAATATTAGTTATCATTCTATCGTTCAAATATGATCATAAAAACAGATAGAAAATCATGCTGCAAACAAACATAACATATCTAGATAAAAACAAACATTATATTCAAAAAATATGAACCTAAATATCTAGACACATGAAGACGTTATAACTTGCGCAAGTATTTTGAACTAATTTCTCGAGAATTGAGAATCATGTCCCATTTTTTAATCCTTCGAGAATTTCATATAGACGTCATTATTAAATATCAAGTATCACGTATTAAGTGATCACTATAATCAAGAGACGCGTTTCTTATCTTCATTTGCTACCAAATTAGCAATAATAGAAGATTTTCCTTTTTATACACCACAAGATAAATTGGACTTTGGGAAAAACTTATGCAATAAGGAGGTTGCTCGATAATCTTTTGCACAATCACCCGCCAAAATCTAGCCCGTATATCATTTGCCAAACTTCCAGTTCGCTAGTAATTTCAATTCTAAGTACATGTCGTCAAGTGTGTATTGCGATAAAAATGAAGATGGAATGATACCCACCGATTCTTTTTCTTTTTTTTTTTTGTTTCAACAGGCTGTTATAAATACTAAAACAACAGCTAAAACTATTACAGATTTTTAACCTACCAAAAACATGGAATCATTAAGCAGGACGATACAAAGTGACATGATATTAAAAATGTAAATGAAAATGGAACGAGACCCGTCGATTTTTTTTTTCAACGGGTTGTCGAAAACATTAAACTATTAATTTATCGGTAAAGATCATCTTTGAATAAAGATTTCTGCTTATTCTTTTGTATTTTTCTTTTGGGTTCAATGGGGTGCCAAAAATACTAAAATAGCATTCAAAATCGTTCCAGGTATTTAACCTACCAAAGGCTAAGAACCTTTTAAGCAGGATGATGCAGAGTGACATACAGATGAAAATGTTGATGGAATGAGACCTTCCGTTTTTTTTATTAATTTAACGGACTGTCAGAAATAAATAGCAAATTTTTATTTTTAGATCCAAGTTCAGTAATTATTATTTTATTTGTTCTTCTTTTTTATTGCATGTTTTTATGTCTTATTAATTAAATTGGATTAAGTTTTCTAATGTATTTTTATCCCATATGTTGTTACTGGCAACACGTCCATCAACCAAAACCATTGCAGGTTTTTAACTTATTAAAGACTTAGAACCTTTTAAATCGGAATATGCAAAGTGATATAGTATTAAAAGTGAAAATGAAGATGGATTAAGAGCTATTTTTTTTTTTTGCTTTAACGGCCTGTCAAGAATACTAAAATAGCAGACAAAACCATTATAATTTTTTAACATACTAAAGACTCGAAACCTTTTAAGTGACATAACGCAGACTGACATGTTTTTAACGATAAAAATAAAGATGGAATGAGACCCACCAGTTCAACGGGTTGTTATAAATACTAAAATAACAACTCAAACCATTGCAAATTTTTAACCTACTAAAAACATGGAACCATTGAGCAGGACGATACAGAGTGACATGTTAAAAATGTAAATGAAAATGGAACGACCCCCAATTTTTTTGTCAACGGGTTGTCGAGAATACTAAACTATTAATTTATTGGTAAGGATCATCTTTGAACAAATAGTTCTTGCTTATCCTTCTGTTTTTTTTTTTTTTTTGGTTTAACGAGGTGCCAAAAATAATAAAATAGCACTCAAAATTGTTTCAGCTATTTAACATACCAAAGACTAAGAACCTTTTAAGTAGGATGATGCAGAGTGACATGCTGTTAAAGATGAAAATATCGATCGGATGAGACCTTTTCTTCTTTTCTCGTTTTTTTTTTGTTCAAAGGCTATTATAAATACTAAAATAGCAACTAAAACCATTGCATATTTCTAACCTACCAAAAACATGTAACCTTTAAGCATAGTGACATGATGTTAAATATGTAAATAAATATGGAATGAGACTCGCCAATTTTTTTTTCAACGGATTTGTTGAAAATACTAAACTATTAATTTATTGATATGTACGTATCACCTTTGAACAAATAATTCTTACTTATTCTTCTGTTTTTTTATTTGGTACAACGGGGTGCCAAAAATACTAAAATAGCAGTCAAAATCGTTCCAGTTATTTAACCTACCAAAACCTAAGAACTTTTAAGTAGGACGATGCAGAGTAACATGCTGTACTAAAGATGGAAATGTAGATCGAATGAGACCTTTTATATTATTTTCGTTTAACAGACTGTCAGAAATACTTAAATAGCAAAATTTTATTTTTCTTTTCCTTTAATTTTTTTTTAATGGGCTGCCAAATATACTAAAATAGCAAAGTCCTCTTTTAGATTCAATCTCAATAGTACTTTTTTATTCTTATTCTTTTTTATATTTACACGTTTTTATGTATTCTAGATTGAATTGGATTGAATAGTCTGATTAATTTTTTCTTGATATGTTGCCATTGGTGGCACTTCCATCAGCTAACACCTTTGCAGGTATCTAATCTACCAAAAAATTTAGAATCTTTATAGCAGAACGTTATAAAGTGATATACTGTTACATATGAAAATGAAAATAGAATAAGACCTACAAGTTTTTCTTCTTTTTCTTCTTATTTATTTTTTTATAGACAATAAAAAAAATACTTAAATACCAGCCACAATCGTTGCAGGTTTTTAACCTACTAAACACTCAAAACTTTTTAAAAAGGACGTTGCAGAGTATCATACTGTTAAAGATGAAAATGATTATGAAATGATTCTTTTTCTTTTTCGTTCTTCTTTTTTTGTTTGTTCAACAGGCCGCCAAAAAGACTAAAATACCAGTCAATACCATTGCATGTTTTTAACCTACTAAAGACTCATACCTTTTCAAATAAGACGATATAAAATGACATGCTGGATGAAAATGGAGATGGAATGGGAGCCGTCGGAAAGTGGCTCTTTCATAATTAGATGACACTCTTGGAAAATATATAATTCCTGATATGTTGCTTTTAGAAGTATTGCTTTTTTTCGAAACATTTTTTAATAATGTCACAAATGCTTTGAATTTTTGTATATACCTTTAATTTTTTTCGTTTTGTCTTATTTATAAACAAAACTTATATTTCTTATACACCTTCGTTTTTTTCTTATCGGTTGAAATTATATACTCATATTTAACGTGAAAAAAAGATAATTTAATTTTAATTTGCTCACCGTGCAACGCACGGGTAAAACACAGTAACACTAAGTGGATAAACAAAATGTGGCCATTTCACATTCATGACTACTTTAAGACAAACAAACCTTTCCCTTCTTCTTCTCGTATTGTTATCATTAGTAAGGTCATAGGAACTTAAATTTTGGGATTTCATCGTGCATGTTTTAACTGAAATAAAAACACTATCTATGATGGGATCAAAGATTACAGCAGAAAAAATAATAATAATAATTTAAAATTTTCATTTATAATCTCTAATAGTTATGCATGTGATCATGCATTTAGCAGGGTCATTTTCTTAGTGATTAAATATCGTTAGTAATTTTATTTTTTATTTTTTATTTTTTATTTTTTTTGAAGGGACGGACAGGATATGAAAAGTTTTAAAAGGATGTGGCCCAATACCAATTTGAACTTATCTGGAGAATCTTCAATTAAAAACCTAAACTTGCATAAAAATGAATAAACTTGGAGGACTAAAAATTCATTATTAGAAATTCAGGGTCATATCGTATTAAAACTACTTCTTTCTCCTTCTACAACTTTCCGGAACAAGAATTTGAACAAAATTCCCAAACGAACAAATTTCTTCCAACTCAAACCGCAGCGATGAACCCTTCAAACACTGACAAGATTATCAGGCGGACAACAATGGTGGCCACTCTTACCGCTTCTTATTTTCTTCTCACTGCTGACTACGGTCCTGGACCGAATGCCCTTGACCCGGTAAGATTGTCCGAATCCGCTGACAAAAGATTTTTATTCAATCTTTGATTTCTTTTCATGTATTTTATGATTTTGATTAATGCTTACTACTGTTGGCTTTCGATTTTAAAGAACTGTTCTAAACTGAGAATTAAAAAAGAAATTCGTGGTTGGATGAGTGATTTCATATTTGTGCCAAAGGTCTGTTTGAAATAGAATTTGGCTAGTTTTTTTGTCCCTAGTATGACTGGTGTCGATTACTTGGGATGATGTTACTCTTGAATCAGTAATTAGTATTTTTGGATGATGTTAAAATGCTTTTGAGCTTTAAAGTATGCAAAAGGTTGTTGGACTCTTAACTCTTATGAAGTGAAGTACTACTAACTATTAAGTCTAGAATTTTCGGAATCCTTTGGAGGAAACTGTCTTTTTGCGATAATGTTAATAGGTTTATTAATCCACCTCGTTTGCTTTAACATGTTGATAACCCTGCACATTTAGTGCAATTGATCACTTTAAACTTATATATGATCGTTATCTGTGTAAGACCAGTTGTTCTGTAGCAAAGAATGGGAACTCCTGTAGCACAATCCATGGTCGTGAATTAGCAATAATTTTCGTCTTTCTGTTATCGTTAGATTATTCACATTAGCTCCCTGGGAAATCTAGTCTCTCCGGTGAATGACTTTGTATTTTCTAAAAGAGTAGCGTTTTCAAGGTGTGGTTTTGACCTTAGCGTGGCTGTCTCAGCTAACAGAGTGACTGCAGTCTTCTCATATTCTATAAACAATTGATGCAGTTTGGGTATGCATTAGAACTTTTGGGTAACGTGATTATTGGAAATGTTTGTAAGTTTCTTATATTGGCTGAAATGTAAGCCTTTTCGATCAACCTCTTGGTAATGTTGAAATTGCATTATCGGACTTGTTCCAAAACTCTAGCTAAAGTATATTTGAATCACTAGTACACAGTCTCTTGGATAAATATGTTACCCCTCTTATCCGTGACCGAAATAATCTGCTTGATTTTCCTTTTTCCATGTACTCGTTTGATGTTGTCAGTATCTTTTTCTGAAATTCAGGGTATGTCTGATAGCTTAGTCTGATTTGTTGTTTTTCTATAGATGCATGCACAAGCATTATCATAGTTTGATCCTATTCATCGTGCTAAATGATTTATCGATTCTACTTCTCTGGTTCATTATCTTTCTGCATAGCACTAGTTAAAAATCAAACGTATGCTCCCCATAATCTTTACGGTTGTAAATATGTTCTCACTTATTATGGCGTGGAAGCTTTTTATTTTGAAGGTGAACAGTTAGTATGGATTCTATGTTTTTTGCGGCACTACGCAGAATTGATTATTGAAGCAAAAGTCAGTTCCATTCTTTCCATTGCATTACGTGGTTAATTCCCGGCCTTATACTTCCTAATCCTCCTTACTAAATGACAGATCAAGAATGCAATATTTTCAGCCCAAAGTTCCGTGAAAGACTTCATTATTGGACCAAAGAGGGAGGTTCAGGAAAGTGAAGCTAAGAATTTGGCCCCTAGTGCTGCAGAGAAACATCCATAGTTTATCTCAGAAGATTTCAATCGGTTCTGATGCAGGAAGCTATGATAAAGTTGCAAATAGGAAGACGTTTTGTAATTTCAGACCTCACTAAATTGTCTTCTCTCAACCTTCTTTGTATATATGCTTGCACGTGTCAGCATTAGTTCATTCAAAGAAGTATCAAGTTCTGATTAAAGGTTTATACAGGAAGCATTTCACACTTAACTGGAAATCTGGAAATATCTCAGATGTTTTGACGATACTAATTTCCGTAAATGTGAATGTGAGACGGTTTGTTTATAAAATTATTAGTAGATTTATTTGTTAAATAAACTATGCATCTGCCTTGACTTGATGGAATGATGTTATTTCAATAGTGATCAAGTTCGACATCAAGCATCAAATGGACTTTTTTTTTTATTTTATTTTAAAAAAAGATAGACGATAACTTTTAAATGTGTGCATAACCCATATTTTTCTTTTTGTTTAATAAACGCAAATTGCAGAAAATCACTCTTGTGCATCCACCAGGGAAGTAGAGCTGTTTACTGGGCCAATATTTCATCCAAGTGAAAAAAAACAAATGGGCCTCCCCCTTTTACGGGATCATCGGTTTGATTTTCTGTTTTGGGCCCTGACGGTCTTCAACATCTTCTTCTTTCTGTTTTTTATTTGGAGCCATGGGCTTCCACAACTTCCGACTGATTTTGGCCCTACGGCCTACAATAAGGGTGTCCAGCGCTGGACAGAATCGTGACTGCATATGAGCAATATAAGGCTTTGTTTGTTTTTTTTTTTATTTTATGGTTTTTCCAGAATTATTAATTAATAACTGTCTCATCCCACCGTACCTTTTTATATTTCTAATACACTTTTTTACATTTCTAATATAAAAAACACCTAAAAACACACAGAAAAAACGAAACATACATACCCTAAACAAGTCTTCGGAGCCTTCATCATCCTCCGATGTGGGATGGGATGCTGACAGAAAATTGCCAACTCCTTTCTAATTTATAATTTCTTTTTCTCCCCAACAGATTAATCATTTTTTAAAACTAATGAGTATGTATATATGCCCTGGAAAAAGTAGTCAACCGATTAGACTAACCAGTAACCATAAACGTCCCTGAAAACTCCTTTTACTTCTTAGAAGACTGAATAAATCTCTCTCCAACTTAGCCCTTTATATTTATGGTTCACAATATGGTTTTGGTGGACTTTCCCTCTGTCAATCACTGCGCCAATGCTAAGCTTGCCAGAACCGCAATTCCTAAGGCCCTAACTCGAGATAAGTGTTTTAATTATGCAAGTTGATAATGACAGTGGTGCTGATGATGAAGCTATTTTAAGTTTGTGAAATTGGTGCTTCTGTCCAGGTTTACTGCATTGGACCTCATGGTTGGCGAAAGCTGGATGATACTGGTGTAAAGTTGATGTAATAGGTCTATGAAGAAACTTGGATTTATAGTTAATTTAATATTCCACCAATGTTCATTGCCTTCGTAACACTGCCGCCTTCACCTATGATTTCATTTCAGAAGTCGGAGTCAGAATATTTACAAATAGAAATTATTACACTAATAAAACGGAAATTAGGAGTGATACACACATATAATATATATATATAAGAAAAAAATGGTAAATTAAAAAAAAACCCAAAGAATAAAGAAAGGTGAACATGATGAAAATTCACATATAGAAGAACCCAAAAAAAAAAACAAAAAAAAAGATAGGAGACAACAGTGCTAAGTAGCAGTAGCGGAGCTAAAAATATTTTTTTAGTGGGGGCAGGAGAATAAATATATCAATCAATCAAATTTTATTTCACGTTATAAGTTTACATATACACGTGATTTGTACATATTTTGTACGTGATTTGCACGTAAATTACACATGACTAGTACCGGTTACAATATATACATTTAGGCACAAATTAAAATTACATATCTAGATTAAATGGACAAATATATTTATTTGTAGTGGTATTTTAAACAATAAAGATACAAGGTCACATAAAATAATAAATATTTGTGTTATTAACAAATATTTTGTTATAGAGGTGTTTAGGTGAGAAGTTTGGTACAAAGGATGAGGACAGAATATCTACGCCATCACTGATCGCGGAATCAATCACTGCTACAATGTTGGAGAGGATTCTTTTCTCACAGCCTTATATATGGCTAAACGAGATTTCGGAACCATTTCAACAGCAGTCCCTGATGCGCATCCAAATAAAGAGGCTCCATCGATGTAGCTTCTGGCAGCAGTCGACGACCTATGTATTCCGTGTGTTCATTGAGAGATTCTAACCAGGGAAAGTAGTAAGCAAGCCTCTGTTGAAGCAACGAGCTCTAATAAATTTTGTTGCAGGTAGAGGAATTGAACTGCAATCCATCTTCACATTGTCCTCTCCATCCAATCAGGACTTCAGTCATTGCATCATCGCAAAAGCTCCGGCTCTCCAGCCATACACCAGTGTCCACAACTCCAATAACTACATCCTCTCCATAGCCAGAGGTTAGGAGTACAAAGTAGTATATGTACTAGTATCATTGTATATTATTGTAGGATTCAAATGTTGCAAACTAAGTCGTAATTACTAGACATCTAGTGTATACGTCACCTCAACTTATATGTTTATGAGGCTATGACCATCAGAAGAATTTCTAAATAAAGCCCTTATATAAATATGTATAGGATATTCAAGAAATCATCTCAATATTGATTCTTGCAAGATCAGAAAGTTACAGAGGTCTAAGTCAACTTCGAGCACACTCGTCATTTCGTGTGAGTTTTACTCTTTCTTCGTCCCAAAATAATTATAAAGAATGCAATTTTTTTAATGCAAAGTCCCGTGAAAAACCTCATTATCGGACCAAAGAGGGATGTTCAGGGTTGAGAGGGAGATAAGTTGGATAGGTGAATATTTAATTTGTTTTAATCTGAGTGATTATTAATTGAAAATGAACTGGAGGTAGTAGATCGAACACCGGTTGTGTAATAAAACCCTAAAAATTCGATATCAAATTTAATCACTGATGCGGAGTGAGTTTTCCATGTTTTCATATGGAATAGATGGGATTGAATAGCGTTATGTACCAGTAGCGGAGCCAAGATTTCATTGTAGGGGGTGCAAAATGAAATCGCGACATCAAGCATATTAAATACTTAAAAAGACATCAAAAATAAAACAAATACTAAAATACCATATTTTTTTTATTCAAAAAAAGGTTTAGCAAATTTCAAACTCTAATCAACATTTTGAGAAATTTTTAATAAAAATATACTTTAGTAATAGTTTAGTAATTGTATTTTATAAAGATTTAAGGCTTGAATAACATAAATAAACACTAGAAGATAAGGATTTTTAAAAACCAAATTCTACTAAAAGATCTAATTTAAAAAACAGTAACAACCTATATACTTGCTAGCTTTTAGTTTGTATAGGTTAAGAAATTAGTTTGAATTTATTAGCTCAAAATTGTACTATAATGGTTTGATTTGAGCTTGAATTATTTTTATTTACATAATTAAGAGTGTTATAAAAAATAGTACGCTATCATTGAAATGATAAGAAATCAAATAATACGTTTTTCTTTACAAAGTTTTGTAGTTAAATTTTTTATTGAGAGAGCTTCAATTATTTTTTATTTACATAATTAAGAGTGTTAAAAAAATAGTACGTTATCATTGAAAAGATAAGAAAACAAATGATACATTTTTCTTTACAAAGTTTTGTAATTAAACTTTTTATTAAAAAAAATTATAACACTCTACAACATATAATATTATTAAAAATATTTTGAAGAGCGTGCGAAATATCTTGTTTATTATTTTTTCCATATAAAAAATATAATACTAATGAAAAAGATAAAAAAAACGGAGGGGCGCGGCCGCACCGGCTGGCCCCCCTTCCACTAGCAAATTTTTAAAGTGAGTAGGAAGATAACTTCTGTTTAATTGCATTTGACGGAAAGAGCTCTCCCTCTGCCTCTTGTATGTACCATTGGTTTTATTAGTATAGATTATGATTATTTGTGATAATTTAAGGTATGTAAAGATATAATTTCAAGGATTGTTAATTTATTTTCTAAGTGCATTGTTAACCAGCAGTAGCTCTGATTATTTGTTGATAATATACGATCCACAAGGTTTTGTATTTACACTATGTTGTCTTATGGAGAAAAAACCTTACCGCAACGTTGACAAAATTATAGAAAGTGATGTGCAAAGTCTAACGTGAATCTTCACGTTATTGTTCTTAGCTTTGGTGGTAGGTTCTCTTTTATGGTTATTCCAATCGGATCAACTGTTTTGTATCCAAAAAAAAAAGGGGAAAACTTTGTTTCGTTATTCACTATATTTGAAGACTGTTGGTTCTTTTGGCTGATGATACGGAATCCACGGGTGGAATAAAGAGAATTATGCGGGCTTCTGCTCCAGTATTTATGCCCAGTCTAACCAGCCTTTGTTATATAACCCCAGAACTTGCGCCGCAATCGAAAGAATTGTGAAACCCTAATCTCTCTACTCTGAATCGGAGTGCTTCGGAGGCATCCAATATCGATGAAGGACATGGAACTTCCGCCCTTGGAAATTTTTTGGTATCAAGGGTTGGTCCCGGTCAGAGTTGAACCAGTCTACTGATACAAAAAAGAAGATGAGCATGGAGGAGAAATTGATGAACAGGGAGTTCTACAAGAGGGTCAAGAGCAATAAACATCTTGATCATCAACCCCTGGCGGATATTTGGCAACCTCGACCCCTTACTTTTTGACCTCGACGCGATTCTCTTTTCGGTATCAAGGGTTCATCCCGGTCAGTGGTTGCCGAATCTACTGTTATGGAAAAAAATGTGAGCATGGAGCGGAAATTGATGAATAGGGAGTTCTTCAAGAGGGTCGAGAACTGTTGGGCCAATATTTTCCCTCAATTGAGCCCAACATGATTTAAAGCCAAAATCCATGTTGGATTTGGTTTAGTTTGGCCGAATAAAAGGAAAACTAATTGGATTTGTTTTTTTTTGGTTTGATTGCTTATAAAAGCAATGTGGCCGTGACTTTTTGGCTGTGAATTTCACAAGCAAATTTGGGGCAGCCGCACATTATTTTTGTGCGAGAGAAAAGAGAAGAGAAAAGCTAGTTCTGGGGTTTTTTGGTGTTGCAAGAAAAAAATGTTTCACTTTAAGGCTTTATTGGGTGACGAAACAGAGTCAGTTATTGGTGCAAATTTGCATGTGTGTTTCTCTCAACAAGATCTACAAATCCTCCGGTTTAGTTTTCAGTTTAGCTCTCTTTTGGTAAGATCTTTCCAGTCCTACTTTGTGAGGTGTGTGTGGAAGAGTATTGTTGTAATC